AAGTTGCAGTCTAAATGTAAGAGAGATCCTGTTTGGGAAGACTGTCACTGATGCAAAAGTCCTTATAGTTAGAATGTTTTCTGATGATATGGTCATGGTTTTACTTGTCCAGGGACATTTTTTACCGCTAGGAACTTTTCACTTTAATTAGATTGGCCCCTGACACTTGGCGCGGTTCTCAAAGCAGAAGCCTAGCTCTTCCACACATCCTCCTCTTGGAGGGTATAGCTGTCTGCTTTCAATTGGCCATGCAGTTTCCTCCCATGCAGACAATTGCCACTCTGAAGACTTGAAGACTGCAGCTCCCTTCTAATTTGTGTCCTGCTTTCGAGTTCCAGCTGCATCTCTTGCAGACCTTCATGATTGCTGCTGTCATCAACTTGGAGAGCAAATATCTTGCATTTCTCCATGTCCTCTCTTCACAGGCTTTGGTTATAACCTGTTATATTGCCCAAAAGCTGCTAGTCCCAGGTTCTGACCTGTTTCAACTTCTCCCACTAAAATCACATGAGGGTACTTTCTCTCTCCTGTCTCCCAGGAGAAAGTCGTCACAGAGTTCTTTCTTGATTTTGTTGCAAATTTGAAGCTCCTTTCCTTTGACCTTCCTCCATGGGAGACCCCTCTCTCGTGACAATTGTCAATGGGGCCCTGGGTATTCCATGTATTGCACTCTCATTGTACATGGGAGAAATAGGTGGTTTATTATTACAGTATTATTTTTAAAATTGTGTGTTTTGGGAAAAGCTTCTCTCTATGTCTTTCTCTCTACTGGCTGTGAGAATAGGAATACTGATACATCACTATGAAATTCTACTTTGTTCCTTCTTCAGTTTCTTTGAGTTCCTGGGTTGGAGTTTTCTAACTTTGTCATACCCAATGGGGAGGACCACTTGACTGTGGGTTTATTTGATAATCCAGACTATTGCTAAGGGGTTGCCTTCCTCCTGCTCTTCCCAGGATGGCTTCAGTGCCAGGTTTGTCATGAGAGGGGCATTATTGTTGTAGGCATGAACCTTGAACCTGTTTCCCCTCTCCCACATCTGAACACTGGGATTTAGTCTGGCTGTGTTCTCTTAGTATTGTTATTAGGGGGAACCATTTTTTCTTGGTGTCTTGCTACCCACCAGAAGCACTGATTTGTGGTTATGCAATTTTATCCCATTCTGGTTTTGGTTTCTCTGAGTCCCTCGTTTGGGATTGTCTGAGACACACCACTGGGGAGCATCGCTTAAATATGTGTATATGGCATGGCTGTGGGGACAGCCTGCTTCCTCTCCTAGCTTTGTCCCATGAGCCATGTACAGGAGACACTCTGGGCTGGATGAATCTATATGAATTCCCTACATGAATCTGTTTCTTCTCTCTTACCCTCTAATTTCTGGGTTTTAATCCAACTGGGTTGTCTTTTGTGTTTATTATTCTGTGTCAGTTTTATCTTTTACTCCTGCCTCAGAGCATCTGCTTCTCTTCAGCACTGAGTCAGAGGTACTCATGGTGGCCAGCACCCCTTGGCACCCTGCTGTCTTCTACTCTTTGCTTCCATCTGAAGCATTTCTTAGTCTACTAAGCTAATCATTTTAATCACTGAGTGAAAATGGAATTTAAAGTAGATAGCAGACTATTGCTTAAGGGTGAATGAGAAAGTCATAAGATCTGTCCAACTTTCCACCTAGAGTCTTAGTAACTTGAAATTTGTCCCCACATGGTACTGCCACACGCTTCTCCCCAATACTCTAAAATCCACATAGTAAGTATTGTTGGCTTTGTAGACTACATGGTGTCTGACACAAAAATTAAACTTTACTATGTTTCTGAAGCCTCTCTGGCCAATGTGCAGCCAGATGAGGACTGTATTCCAACAAAACTTCATGGAACCTGAAATCTAAATTCCACATGGCTCTCATGTCATAAAATAGTAAACTTTCTCCAGCCATTAGTGTGAAGCCATTCTTCATTTGCAGTTATAGAAAAACAAGTCAGGGAAAATTCTCCCTATTGCATGTGCTTGTCAACATGCTCTGCTCCAGCCTCATAGCTTTACAATGAGGTAAGCAAGCTTAGAGCTCCAGGTCCAAGCTTGCAACCAAATTCCTCTCCTTTCCTCTTGCAGTTAACCCCAAAGTTTGTAAGTGGCTTCCTAGAGAATACCTCCTCCACTAACAGCAATGAAAGAAATTAGTTCATGCATCTTCTTCTCTCCTACAGAAATGAAGAGCTATGTTTTTCTCTAAGAACAGTACATTTTTCTTTATTCAATTATATTTCTGACCTCTGTTACATACCATTATAGTAAAGCCAATCAAAACACATGAATACTTTACACCTATAAATTGGATTTCTCGATTAAACCCTATAGCATTTAACAGTTGCTCTTCAGTGAATTTGAGAGCATAATAAAATTTTTATCGCTTAATAATTTTAAATTTCAAAACATAGTCTCTTTTTCAGTATTTTCCCAACAAAGTCTTCAATTAAACTTTAACTTAGATAACTCATTGATAAGTTTAATAATGTCACCATACTGATTTGTTCTTTTAACACCTCTAAGAGCCATAAAAAACCATGAAAAGAGTCATTTATTATCTGAATTAGTGTCTTTCTCAGATTCTGCCGGCCAACTTTTATTACTGAAAGCATAAGCAAGGCAACTTCAGTGTCACAGCTACCCCTGCAACAGCACCAGGCTTTCTCAATAACCTAAAAGACCTTCTAGGCAAAAATAGTAAAATGCAGATTTATACCAGGGATCATGTTGTTCATCAAAGCTATAACTTTATAAGCTTTAGTAGTCAAGGTTTAGCATTGGTCAGGATGATTCTTCCCTACAGTTTCCATTAAGAAATTATTGTAGAAGAGATTCAAGGCCAGAGAACATCCAATGCACTAAAACGGGCCACAATTCCATCTTATCTGGAGGAAGGTAGATTCAAGACAAATCTCACCTCCCATCTCTTGTTTCTGTAGCTGACAGCCACAGATTAACTCCTTGTGAGAACAGAACCGTTACAGCAGAGATTCTTAAGCGTTCGCCCATCCACACTTACAAAAAAAGTGTAACTCCTGGTGGCCTCTAAGTCTCAACTCCATACACACATCCACATTAATACAGCCTCCATCTATAGTTACAGGTGTGCTTGTGTTTAGTGGGAAACACATCATTATATACCCTGCGTTTATGTTAGCATATAATAAAAGTAATTATCTTTCCATTTTGCACACCAAAGTTTTGACAAAAAATTATGTGTTAATATTTTGCTGTTTCCTGTTTATCACAATCAATGTTATTTAAGATACAGAAAATTTTAAGAATTGAAGATTTGTCATTAACACCCCATGAAGACAGAGTGTAGACACTGATTGGTATTACTAGATTTAAATGACTCCAGTGAAAGATCCAGTTACAGATCATGTGCTAGCAAATGCGGTTCATGTGCATGGAATTTTGAAAAGTGATATAAATTTTGCATACATGCCTGTTGTAAATTTCTGCAATGTTCCCATTTTAACTGATTTTGTGTTTTCATGCTTTTAAAGCTACAAAAATAAGTGAAATTATGATCATTTTACAAAGCAGCAAATCAGTGAATGTGGTGGTAGATGCCTGTAATCCCAGTGTGGAAGAGGCTGAGACAAGAGAATTGGCCTGAGTTTAAGGACAGCCTGGACTACATATTGCACATCAAGACCCTGTGGAGGAGGAGGAGGAGGAGGAGGAGGCGGAGGAGGAGGCGGAGGCGGAGGAAAAAGAGGGAAAGGAAGGAGAAGGAGAAAATGAAAGGACGGTAGAAGAATGATTAGGCCTTGGTTTTTCTAGTTCTTGGACTGGTATTTTTTTACTACCTATCACCCCTAAACAATTGCCTAGATAAACTACACCACCAAAGACCTTGTCCAGACTACTCAAGAAACAAAACTAAGAAAATTTGACAGACATACCCAAAATAACTTTAGATTAGAAATTAGGGTCCACTTTCAGTGATCTGTTCCTTCTTTCCTGTATTCCAAGTGTGTAATGCATATGCTCAGCACCAAAAGCAGTCTGTCTGAAGAATTGCTTTTCAGTCCACTCATTGTTCTGCAGTGATGTCGCTCAGCTCTGACATTTATTTCAAGTTTCTTATGATTTTTCAGAAATGAAACAAAGCACTTCGTTTTAAATATTTTTATTACATCAAGTTTTGATAAATGCAAACTAGTTAGCAATCTGGTTTGGTCACCAAACATTTTTTAAAATTTTCTCAATTCTGTATGTAGTCTGTAGACTGGAATTTGCTACGCTTTTTTCTCTCCATGAAGCAACCACCATGGGACATAGGGTGGTACACGTGCTTGCTGCTAAACATCCTGTAAACCTGACGCGAGATGAGTTTTGAGGAAACTCTCAGGCAACTTAAGTCCATTATCACTTTTAAAGGTATAGGTATTGTATAATGGCGCTACATGAAAGCTGAAACTTGCTTCAAAATCTGGGCTACTGTGCAATAAATTCACATTTTATTTTTTCTTTCTCTTTTAATTTTATTTATTTATTTATTTATTTATTTATTTATTTATTTATTTTGCAATACCACAGATCCAACTTGGGACCTTGCTCTTGCCAGGCAGACTCTTCAGCCACTGAGCTATCTGTCCAGCCCTAAATTCCTATTTTCTTAATTTGCAAGAAAATTATACACATTTAAAACCTCTACACTAATCCCCAACCCAGTCAATAGTTTTTAGTCTTAACAGAAAACTTTCTTAGGTGGTTTACTTCCTACTTTGTCACTTAAAATTTTATGCCTATTTTAATGCTTCAAAACTGAGAGTAATAATTATGTTCACATTTTCACAGAAACTTTACTTGCATTTTTAAACTAGAAATAGTGCTGTACAGCTTTACTTTAAACAATGCACAACTGTATGATAAGCATTAGTTTTGTAACAATAAATATAAATTTAACATAAAGATCTGTGCTTTACTATCAAAACTAATAATTTCATTTGTTAAGAAAACGAGCTTAGTTCATTATAGTATTCTTCACAGCAGCTACGATGTGTTTGGCACTGATTCCAAACATATCCAGCAACTCATCAGCTGTTCCACTTCGAGGCACTCCTGTGACTGCCAGCTGATGAACAGAGATGCCCGGCTCCCTGCACACCGCTGCACACACTGCCTCTCCAATGCCACCTTCTCTGTAGTGATCTTCCACTGTGATAATCTGGCCACCCGTGGCTTTTGCGTTGGAAATGATAGTGACAGCATCCAGAGGTTTAATAGTAAACGGATCAATGACACGAATAGAAATACCTTGTTGGGAAAGATCAGCAGCAGCTGCTAAGGCCTCATGCAGAGTAACTCCAGCTCCAACAACTGTGACCTTGTCATCATCACTGTAGCGAATCACTTTGGCTTGTCCAATCCCAAAATTTTCTTCTGGGGCATAAATAACTGCAGTTTCTGGCCGGCTGGTGCGAATGAAACACAGTCCCTTGGTATTGGCGGCCAGACAAACAGCGTGCTCTGTTGAGACTGCATCACTTGGATAGAAAACAGTGCAACTGGGAATGCTTCTGAACATGGCTAGGTCCTCCAGGGCCATCTGGGAAGGTCCGTCTTCACCAACAGATACTCCACAGTGAGAACCAACAATGTTGATATTGGTTTGAGAGATGGCTCCCATTCGGATTTGGTCAAATGCTCGGGTCAAGAAGGCAGCAAATGTACTAACAAAAGCAATGGTCCGATCGCGTGCAGCACAGCCCAGGGCCACACTTACCATGTTTTGTTCAGCAATAAAACACTCAATGAAACGCTCAGGGTGATCTTTCTTAAATAGCTCAGAAAAGGTGGAGTTCTTTGTGTCACCATCCAGAGCAATAACTCTTTCACATGAAAGGCCCAATTTGGCCAGAGCCATACCATATGCTTTCCTAGTAGCTATCTTCTCACCAACTTTGTAGGTAGGCAGAGAGGTCATTTTTATATTAGAGATGTTGATCTGAGGTGAGTCTTCAGTAGGGGCTTTTGGCGTGAGAGTTCTGTTGGTCTGTATCTGACTCTCGATTAATTTGATAATTGCATCTGCTCTCTCTTTCGGCATTGGCTTTCCATGCCAATTTTCTGCATCCTCGATGTTTGGAATACCCCGGCCCTTGAAGGTCTTGGCAATTATAGCAGTCGGTTTGTTCTTCACTTGAGCTGCTTGCCAAAAGGCACGGCATAAGGCCTCCACATCATGACCGTCCACTCTGCAAGCATTCCACCCAAAGGCTTCACAGCGATCCTTATAGACGTCGGTGCGGTGCTCAAGGGGCGTGGTGCCACTCTGTCCCAAGCGGTTCACATCAAAGACTGCCACGAGATTGTCCAAACTGTAGTGGGAGGCAAAAGCCAAAGCCTCCCAGACGGAGCCTTCCGCGGATTCGCCATCCCCCATGAGGCAGAACACCCGATAGCTGGCCTTGTCGAAGTACTTGCCAGTGTACGCCATTCCACATGCCGCTCCCAGGCCCTGCCCGAGGGAACCCGTCGCCACATCAACGAACGACAGTCGAGGGGTGGGATGTCCTTCCAAGTCGCAGTGAATCTTCCTCAGGTTCAGCAAGTCGCCCTGGCGGATATCGCCGATCTCGGCCCAAGTGGCGTAGAGGACCGGGGCCGCGTGGCCTTTGGAGAGGATGAATCTGTCGTTGTCGGGGTGCTCTGGCTCGGCCTGCTTGTACTTCATCGTGTGGAAGAAAAGCACAGACACGATCTCGGCCGCGCTACAGCACGACGTCGGGTGGCCGGAGCTGCAGCTGCTTGTGGCCCTGATGGAATGGATTCGCAGGCGGTTGGCCGTGTCCCGCAGCACCTGCAAGGTCTCCGCATCGGGCTGGGCGTCATTGGTCGCGGCCATGGCGGTTTGGTCTCTGGACGATTAGGTCTCTCTAGGCAGTTTGGTCTCTCTGGGCGGTTTGGTCGACTCACGTGACTATGGAACGTGCACGCCTCATGAGGACCCGCCCAGTATGGTGTGCGCATGCGCGATGGTCAGCGCCTGTGACAAGGTGTGCGCATGCGCCAATAACTGCGCATGTGCCGATAGCTGTGCACGCGCTAAATAGCTGCGCATGCGCCAATAGCTGTGCACGCGCTAAATAGCTGCGCATGCGCCAATGCGCCAATAGCTGTGCATACGCCAATAGCTGCGCATGCGCCAAAAGCTGCGCTAATGCCCTGCGACCCCTGGCTTGTCTCTTGCGCTGTTGGAACCTTTGTGCTGCCCCGTTTCCCCCCTGACCAACTGAACCTAATTTTTAGTGCTTATCTTATTTTCGTATTATCTAAACCTATATGGTTTTTATAAAACCTATGATAGAAGCATATTTTTGTTAAAGTTTATGTTTCCTTCTATTTGTTGACAGTTTGTCTTGCAAGTCATACATTGTTCAAAGTAAATTCTTCATACCTTTCATGATAGAAATTCACAAGGATCACCCTCGCAAGCAGGTTTAATGGAAGGTATTTTTGAAACTAAATTTTTCAATACATAAATCCTATATTTGAGGTATTTTCCCTCCTTTTTATTTTTTCTTTCTTGCCTGCTTTGTCGTCTCTCTTGCTTCCTCCTTTTCTCGCTTTCTTTCTTCTTTTGTCGATGAGACCTCACTCAGGTCCTTGAATTCACCATCCTCCTGCCTCAGCCTCCCTATGGACTAGATTACAAGCATGTACCTCACTCCATTTAATCTATGTTCTTTATGTGAAAACAGTACGCAGAGAGCACCTAAAGTCAATTTCAGTCTGATATAGCCACACTCCCTCAAAAGATACTGTCTCACATCAGTTTAAAATACTAAATCTGACGTATAAGAAAATAGAATAATCTGACCGAAATTTATAGAAGAATCTAAATCCACCCACTGGCAGCATATCTAGAGCTACAATTTTCCACATGAATCTTGATGAATTAGTATTATGTTAAAATAAGAATGCTGTTCAGTGGAGACAGCTCTAGTTCTCTGGGTTCTTACTTAAACTGAAAACCAATGCAGTGTGACCAGTAAACAAGAGGTGCTTTGCCCTTTCAAGACTGTCAGCTAACCCCTGACTGGTGACTTTTGCATTCCAAAGACTCAGCTTTCACAGATCACGGCTATTTTTTTCTTTGCTTCTATATTGCACAGTGGGGGCTGGGGAAATAGCTCAGTAGAATAAGCACTTGCCTAGCAAGCGCAAGGCCTGAGTTCAATCCCTGGTTCTGCCAAAAACAAACAAACAAACAAAAAAAAGCACACTATATTGCACAATGATGTTGTAGTATATTTCCCCACACTTCAGTGTGAAAGATCTTGGCTTTTAATCTTGATTTCATGTTAAAATAACTGCAATCATATTTAAGTGTCTGATTTCCACTCCTGACAACTTGTGTTTGAATTTCTGAAAATACGCTCAGGGAAGCTGTATTTTTGTTTGTTTCTTTGCTTTTAAAGCACTCATTGATTCTAATCAAGAGTAAGTTGCATTTCTCAAATGACCAATGATATTGAATACTTTTTCATATACTTATTTGTCATTTGTATTTCTTCATCTCAGAATTCCAGTGTTTCTGGGATTAGGTATTTGAAATTGATGGACCTGATGTTTTTCAATTCTTTATATGTTCTAAATAGAAGTCCTTTATCTGACAGATAGTTGGATAAAATGTTTTCCTATTCTGTGGACTTTCTTTTCACTCTGTTGGTGTTTTCTTTTGATTTGTAAAAACTATTTAATAAGATGCGATGTTAGCTGTTGGTTCTTTGAAGTACTTCCTGTAAGTTTGGTTTTTGTTCATGAACTCTCTGCCTATCCCTATGTCTTCAAGATTTCTACATACAGTCTCTTCTGGTAAATTTAGTGTTTCTGTTTTAATACTTGGATATTTGATTATCCAAGTAAAATATTGTCTTTAGTGCATAAACATGAGTCTAGCATTTGGCATGTGTAAAACTAGTTTTACCAGCAACTAAAGAAGTTATCTTTCTTCCAATGAAAAAGTTTGGCCTTTGTATCAAAGATAAAGTGGCTGAGTGTGTTTGTAGCTATGTAAATTCCCGTCAGCTAAAGAATGGATTAAAAAAATGTGTATTTTTATACAGTGGAGTACTACTCAGCTATAAAAAGGGTAAATTTGAAGCTTTTTTACATAAATGGATGCAACTAGGGACCACACTCATAAGTAAAATAAACCAGACTTGCATATGTAAACACCATATTGTCTTCCTAGTGTAGGAAACTGAAAGAGTAACTAAGATCCAGAATACACAATGGATACTGTAAAAGGGAAAGAAACTGCTCAAAAGAGAAGATGACTGGGAAGAAAAAAA